CGTTCCGTAGCGAGCTTAAAGCTGAGCTTTAGGCTGTTAGAAATGAGATTCATGATTGTAGAATTGAAATATCAGAATTTAAGGCTGCTCTAAGCGCGTTTGATGTCAAAATATCGGAACTAGAGAGTAGACTTAGCGCTTTAGAAACCAAATGCGCCCAAGTAACGCCTTAAAATGTCAACACATTTGAAGAAAATATAAGTCATTTGAAGGCACAGCTCAATGACAGGGACCAGGAGCTTCTACTGAACGATATAGATCTTTCTGGAATACCGGAACAGAACGAAGAAAATCTCTCAAATATAGTTATGGCGTTGCCTACAAAGTTGGGGATAACATACGAGGAGAGAGATATTGTACGTGTGGAACGAGTCGGTTCAGTGCGTCGCAATAGAGTAGAGGGGAGTGCTAATGACGATCTCAATTCACAGCGACCTCGCACTATTGTCTTGCGGTTCGTGCGCCGATTGATACGAGATCAGTGGCTGCGAGCGGCCCGCATTCGACGGAACCTAACTACGAAAGATATCGATGTGCCCGGGAAGTCGGGTAACGTCTATGTCAATGAACGACTACTAAATAACTAAACGACCACTTGATCCTAAAAATGAAATCCAGTAAGTGGCAATTGGCATGTTTACTTGTCGGTGTTATTAATCTCAAAGAACCGTTATACTTGTACAATAAGCTCAAGTGGGTCGCTGGTGGTAGGCTGACCGAGAAGAGGCAATGTACACAGCAATTATCTACACAACGACATAATTCGGCTTCTTTTAAAGGAGCTTTTGGCTATACTGCTTCCAAAATATGGAACAATATCCCGCCACCCCTGAGAGCTATGAAGTCGAACGTTTGCTTCAAAACTAAACTAAAAAAATATCTTTTGGATGCACAAATAGCTATAGGTACCTATATATAATGCAAATAACTCTTATATATAGCGGCTTGTTGTAATGGATTGATATTAATTTCCAAAAGTTACTTAATTTTAAATTCTAATTTTTATTAAATGTATATGTGCATGTTATTTATATTTATGGTGAATGTAATGGATGATTTATTTTAAAGTATGAATAAATTACAATACACATATATAATGTTAATTGAAATAGTTACTATTTTAAAATGAATTTTTTATTTGTAATGTTTAATTTCTTTTAATTTTTAATTTCTTGTAAGAGGTTTTCATGTCGACAATTTGACATCTGTGTGTCAAAAAGAGACAATTAGGCGTCAATTGAAAATCAGCGTCAGGTTTAGCAACCTGACAGTGAGCTGAATTGGCTGCCTATCTCGGTGCAATGTGTGACGCATTTTTCTTTTTTTAGTTATATTTTATTTAATTTATTGTAATTGGTAATTATTATAATATGTTTTATGTCTATTTATTTGTGCACCGGAATAAATACATTTTTCTTTCTTTTCTTTCTTTCTTTTCTTTCTTTCTTTCTTTCTAAAGATGTCAACAAAACAAGGACATTGCCATCTTGTGATCGATTACAAAATAAAAAGATATAAATACCTGAATTGCGAAAAGAACAAAATGTCAACTGATTATTCTCAGCAATTAATATTTTTACGTTTCACATGCCATTAAAAAAAAAACAGAAACCAAAACCTGTAGAAGTGACGTTTAAGATGATTTAACTTTTGTTTGGGACGTGCTTAAGGGTATGTTCCGATATACACTGCGAGCACTGCGCAGTGGTCTTACTGCTGAAAAATCCGTTCCGTTATGGATTGCCAGTACACTGCTACAGTACCCTAGGGAAATTTATGACGTCATAAATTGCCGCCATATTTGTACTGTGAGCACTGGAGATTTCGAGGTAAGGTGCTCGCAGTGCTTTTGATCACGTGATCAGCCGAAACAGAATCAAAAAATGATAAGTTTCTAAATAAACAAAAAAAAAATACTTACGTTAAATAAGATGGATTTAATTGATAAATAATTTTTTTATACAATTTTCCAATTTTCTTTTGAAAAGAGGGAATCTTTATATTTATATTCACCTTGCATTAACAAATTTGAAAATGGCGCCAAAAAATAGGATTAACAGTATACTGGACTGCGTTCCGTTTTAAAAAGTCACCAGTATAACTAGCTATAAAGGAACGGGCTTCCAGTATACTAAATTGACGTCATACTGTTCAGTGGTCGCAGTGTATATCGGAACATACCCAAAGTTTTTCAAAAAATAAAGAAACTACTAAAATTAATGTCACTAGATGGCAGCACAAATTGTAAGATCTAAATGTCAATTTATGACGTCTAACCAAAGAGAATAGAATTTCAATGTTGTTACGAATCTGATAACTCGAATTAATATCGAGTTGAAATTCAATTAGTTCAAGTTTCGCAAACGCAACTCGATTACCACGAAATAAGTAATCTCTGAAGTAAGTAAATTTCTTTTTTAATTGTATAAAGGAAAATGGAAACTAACATAATGGAAGTGAGCACAAAGAAGGTTTTTAAAAGTTATGGAAATCAATCAAATTAATGCTGTGAAATAATTGGTAGTGGCATTTAGCTACGGTGTACAATAATATTACCGTGAAATAGTTTTATTTAAATAAAATATGTGTGCTATAGTGGGTCTAAGAATTATGCATTATAATATTAAACAAAAGTTCTAAAAACAATAAGAACTAAGTAAGTTAGTTTTGTTGCTATTAGTTGCTTGTTAAACTTACTACATCAAAACAACATCAAATCTCAATTATATTTTTATATTATGGGTCATAAAAACAAAAACAATAATAAAAAATCCCTTTATTTTATATATAGTTACCCGATATGTATCAAATATACTAGGTATTCGTACAAAATAACATGACTTCTGGTTAGAATGACGTTTGTGCAAAGTATAACGTGCAAATAACTTGTCCTTCGAAATTAAGAATTAAAAAAACTATGATCATTTATAAGATCTTATATTCAAAATTAAATCATCTTAATAAAAATTCAGCAATCAACAAGAAACTTCCGTTCAAAACAAAGAGCAACGTTATAATTTTAGATTTCAAAATCACAAAGACACCTACAGTTATTATATTATTGCTCGTTGAGCCAGGTGGTATGTTAATTCGTACGGTGTGTATTTGCTTTTTGGTTCTTATTGTCTCTTACAATAATATTGCAAGTCGTTACATTCAACAATGAGTATATAGGATTTCTGATATTGTAATGAAAAGTGCCCGGTAGCGTAGTAGCCGCGGCCCGCGATCGTTGTCGTTAAGCAACTTTCGCAAGGGTCGGTCACGGGATGGGTGACCAAAAAATTATTATCTCGAGCTACTCCATGCTTCGGAAGGCACGTTAAGCCGTTGGTCTCGGCTGCATTTGCAGTCGGTAATACCCTCCAATCCGCATTGGGCCAGCGTGGAGGTTCATGGCCCATCCTCCTTAACCAGCCATAAGGAAGGCCTGAGCCCCTGCAGTGGGGACGTAAAAGGGCTGATGATAATGATTATGATGAATGAAAAGTGTCTTCATAATCTAATTAAGTCACAATCCAATAAGACTTTTCTGTGTCAAATAAAATAAGGAGAAAAAAGATTCCCTTGCTTAGTTTCTTGCCAGTTCTTAGTTCAGTACAAGATCAAGCCTTAGTTTTGCGAACCGTTGGCAAAGTTTTTGACTTTCGGTGTATTTATAACTAATCTGACAGCTGTCGCTACAGTGACATCGTCCAATAGCAGATTGTGTTTCAAGTCACGTGACATACAAACAAAAAGTCGTGACTTTCATTTCAGGTTCTATCGTGCAATTTTAAGACTCAAAATTGGATTTAGTTTGTGCAATTTCGTAATTTATTTTTCACTACATAATATAAAGAAAATACACATTAAATGAATTTTGACATGTTTTTTATTTAAGTAATAGAGAGAATAAAAACATAAGCTGTATAGAATAATAAATTAGAGTAGCGAAGTGACATCTAGTGACAAGAAAATCAACTAGATGCTTCGAGTTGACTTTATAACTCGAGCGCATAGATACTGATATGTGATATTTTTGTCATTCTCTACTGACTCGAGAAAAACAAGACTTAAGGCACATCACTGTTTTCGTCACAGTATCAGAATGTACATATTTAATTTTAATACTGAGAAGACGTAAAGTAAATATACTTTTTAATAACTAGGTAATAACTTTATTATTTATATAATCAAAAAACAAGTATCTGAATATTTGGAATCAAAAAATCGTCTGCTTCATTCGCAGTTCAGTTTTCGACCGACAAAATCAACCAATGACGCAGTGCTCGGACTCACAAATTTGGTAATAACTGAACTTAATAAGACAAAGAAAACATTGGTTATTTTCCTTGATTTGGCGAAGGCCTTTGACACTCTCTCCGTGCCACACCTTTTGAAAATGCTCGAGAGTGTTGGAATAAGGGTGTCCCATTTTGAAACTTTTCCAGAATTACCTCTGTTATAGGAGCCAGAGAGTTGCAAGTAACGGATGGTTTAGTAATGAAAAAATACTGGCATATGGTTTACCACAGAGAAGCATAGACGACCCTTTTCAAAGTGTGGTCAATAAACTTACTTTCTTTCTTTCTTTTTTTTCCATGAAGCCCTTTTCTCATCTATATAAACAGCCTCTACAATGTAAAACTCGATAAAGGGTCGGTGTTTTCTTTTGCCGATGATGCAGCGCTATTTTTAGTGCTAATACTTAGAGTGAGGTATATGATTGTGCCCAAAACGATTTGAGATCTATGAGTGCTTGGCTTAGAGATAATATACTTATGCTTAATGTCAGCATAAACAAATATATCGCGTTTGCACATAAATCTCACCTCTCGCCCCATCCATCTCTATCCCTAAAAGCACACGATTGCTTTCAACTGGAAAGGCTACCTATCTATCGATTCAATTGATATTGTGGAATCGATTCTAAATCGCATCCTTATTTGATATCTGTTAAAGTCCATTAGTCCATAGAGATTTACTTGTTTTTGGATTAATGCTTCGATTTGAAGAGTAATTGTATTACAAGGCAAGGAATATATACCTGCTTTATACACTTAAACTTCGCTTTTTGCTTGTTTTTTATGCTGCATAGATAATACATAAACACGGGTACAAAAGCAGTTAATAGAAATAAATGGATGTGTTGTCATAAAGTGTTAAATTATATTCACAGTTAAAAATTTATTGTTAAAACGAGGCTTAAGGGATATGCCTCCGGTAAAAGATGAATCTATAAGAGAAGCCAATTGTTTGGAAATAATAAACATCGTGGAGAAAAGCCCTGGAAAAAGTAGTGCTCTGGTCGATGTGAGAGCATGTAATAAACCTGCTACTAAGGTAAGATATGATAGCTTATTAAATCTAAAATGAGGTACACAAACCGCATGATAAATTTTACGTTTGTAGTTTATTTTTCAAAACTATTCAATACACATTACTTTCATCGTATTTAAGTATTATCTACATAAAACGAAGTGTACGTATTTCACCTTGGAGGTGAAAATGCTTTTTTATGCAATTTTTCATCTAGCATGGCAATTTTTTATACTTTTTGTATTCCTTTGATAATATTTTAATGCATTGTTAATTGTTTATTGGCTTCTTGTTGTGTTATTTGAATAAAGGTACACATTTTCATCAATAGTTTAAATACCCATCAAAATACTAATGTAATATAATCTGTATACCAGTAAACTACTTTAGTTTGAACTCTAAGAAATTTTCTTATTATGTATAAAAAAAATAATTATGCATGTACAACTCATACAAATATTTCAGATTTTTTAATCTCAGTTTGTTCTAACATTATTCAGTAGTAAAATGCAATAACAGAAATATACCTAATATTCCTCTCTTTTTGGTTATCATAGATTTTTAAGAAATGAATATGTATTTTGATTGGATTAAATAGTTGTGCAAATCTGACAGAAGATCCATCAATTGTCTCTTGGAACTATACATTAGTATGCATCAGAATTTCCAAGTGACAATGACATTGCATCAGAAGTTTACATGGTCATATTTTATAAATAGTCAGTTTTGTTCTGTGAGCAAAAAGATATGACACATCACCCCTAACCACTTAAACATTCAATTCCTGAACTGTAATTCCTTCGGAACATCATACTAAGTATGCACTCACATAAATCAACTTATTAAGAAAATTGTACTAGTTTTCAATAAAGTGTCATCTATATTTCGTATTAAGTACTAAAAATCACACATTACTTACACAATAATTGAAGTTGCCAACATAAAAACATTTTCTCTGCATTGCCACTAGTGGTCATCTTCGTTACCAGAATGTAAGTCAACAAAAATATTTTGGTTACTTAGGTGACAATGAACATTTGAGTGGTTAAACTTATTTAGTCTTGTTTATGTATTAAATAATCTAGTTAATATAAATTACCAAGCTACACCTATTTAATTAGATAAAAATAGAGATGTAACTGTATTATCATATTATAAGTTGTATGTGCTCTGTTGAAACAGAGTATTGACTCTGATACTTAAATAGTAAAAAAAGCTGTCCTACACACTTAATCACATTATATTAAATAAAGAACAACTTTGTTTTAATTCTATTAATGTCTTACATTTAATATTTAAAACACTAGAATGGAGATATGACAGAAGGCATTTGTTGAAAGCATACTAGAAACATTCTTTGTATACAGTAACTTAAGTGTCAAAGTATTAAAAATTAATAGTTTGGAAAAGACATTTTAGAATTTATTATTCACTCTTGTGTATGCTTTACGCTCTATATCTCATAAATTATTGAGAATCTAAAAAGGTTTAGAACAATTAAGATTTGTTACTAATTGAATGCTCTATAATTTCTATAATAGGTACAGTAGAGCGTCGATTATCCGAACTAATTGGGGGACAGGGTGTTCGGAAAACCGGTTTTTTCGGATAATCGAACTGTATTGATATAGCTAAACATATTTATTTATCCACGGGTGAATAAAAGCCATATTTACATATGTACCTTCATAATAATATCTTTATTGAAAAATAGGAATTAGAAAACAAATAAACTGAAGAATTTGAAACAAAATATTCTAAGTACAATATTGGTGAAAATCGAGGAGTATTCAGTGTAATTTACTATCTCTTAAAAAATCTTCAATTTTCGTCTGCTGAAGCAAGCCAAGCGGCTAGGTCACGTATTTTTTAAGGATATATATTTGATACCGGTCGTTCTCGACTTGTGTTTCAAACCAACGCAAGGCAATATCTAAGCAAGCAAACGCTTCTGAAGCACCAATTATGTTTTCATCTTCACTATCTGAACTTGCAGTAGATGAAGTGGTGTCAGTTTTATTAGTCATCAGATTTAATATTGTTGAAATTGAATATTTTTGAAGTCGAAACAAGTGCGCGCACGAGCGCGGGGCGCGGGAGAGTCGGGAGTTCGGATAAGCGGTCGTTCGGTTGATCGACGTTCGGATAATCGACGCTCTACTGTATTAAAAAGTTAATGCTAGCAGTTTTTACAATAACTGGTAACTTAATATGAGTTTCCAGGGTATTACCTCTCATTTTGAAGTCGACCCCATTTCTGTGCTTAAATAACTGGACTACTAAGCAATTTTTGTAGACAACCAACCTGTCACATATGTTGTGGAAAATACAATAATTAAAATTGTGAAACAGTACTTGATACAAATTATGGTTACTAGTGTTGTGCCGAGTCACCCTTATTTTGTATCCAAGTACTTAAGTATTTAGTGACAAAATAATAAAGTCAGTTTTATAACCTTATAAATCAGATAGTTATTCCAATATTAGAATACTTGCACAAGTATTTATTAATTAAAGCTTATTTAGACTCAATTTCTTTGTGCATGATTTTTGGTTTAGTTGTTCTTAAAGAAGACAGCCAGGAAAAATGCTTCTGGGACATTTTGTACTGTCTCTCATATATTGTCTTTTTCCAGTCATAAATTGAGCTACAATGCTCATACTCGTACAATTTTTAGCCTTAAAAATACAATTTATTATATTCTCTACTAGCTTTCACCAGCGGCTTCGCCCGTGTGGTTCTTAGGGAAATGTATAGTGCCATAAAAAGTACCCTATTATTTAAGTGAGCTAATACCCTATCTGTATACCAAATTTCATCAAAATCCATTCAGTAGTTTCAGTGTGATGTACATAATTTCGTATCTGTCACTATTATAGGGTCAATCACCTAGGACACACCCACAAGAACAAAAACATGCGTGAAATGCAGTGAGAAAAGGTCGCAAAAATGCCTGGATGTGCTTTTAAAAACTGTAATAATAACTGATTTAGTTCAAGAAGAAAAATTAATTACACGATATCACATTGCTCTTGATAGTACATTTGTCTTATTTTTAAAACTACTATAATTTATTATTTGACTGAAATGTTGGCAACCCTAGCCAGACCACTCCTGGAAAATTTCTCTAACGCCCATGTAGATAAAAGTAAAAAAGATAAAAGTATAAAAAAGAGATAGATTGAGTGCATATATTTTTTTTTAATTCTCTACATACTCTGCTTTTCCAACGCCGAGTATTGGCCTGAATCGGGTTTATTTGTAATATAAACAAGCACTATTTCACCTGGCTGTCAACGTCTCAAACTTCCATACCAGAATAGGGTAATGTGCCGAATACTCTGTTCGTATCTAGTAAAGATCAATTTATTTTTTGTCTTGAAACTAGAACATTAGTTTTTATATTGCACTAAATTGTACCTACCTGTTTATATATATAATCACATTATAACGGATCTTACATTTGATGACCTTACCGATAAATCATAATTTGAAGTCCGTCAGCCAACACATCCGTGGAAACCATTATAGCAAACAAACATCTAGCCTTAAAATATTTGTTTAATCATGAATTAGCAGATTCTTTACACCACGGTGGTATTCAATTCTGGTCAAATCACGGCCAAGTAAATGATGTTGTCATAATTTTTATAATTACATAATTTTTGACACGGTAATGAGTGTTTGCGTTATATTTGAATCTGCGAACCATGACATAAGTACTAGTTAGAGACGGTAGTAGCAACTACACTGTTCAGTTTTAGGGTTCGATAGGAATATGTTTAATGTCGTGTCGTGTGTTGTGTTCTTTTATCTTCCGTATTTATCTATCCTTCAAATCATGGACGACAAGAATAGAAAAAAAAATCAGAATGTGTATAGATGACAATACTTCGTTCGTATTGCATTAGATTAAATTATCAAATAAATATTAAGAAAAAAACAATGTAACTTAACCTATTTCAAAAAATTCCTAACATATTTCGTCTTATTGATAGTAGAAAGTCAGACATCATTTTAAAAAGGTGTCTTTAAAATCAAGAGCGTACATCCAAAAGGTAGCCTGCCTGTATTATGATCGTATCAAACGAAACATCTTACCGGACTTTCAGAAATACTCATTATACCGGGCAGCGCAAGACCTAAATGTGGGCCCTGCACATTTTGCGAGAACCTCTAAATACGCAAAATTTTTATTTTTCTAAACAATTATAAATATACAAAAAAGTTTTCGGTAATGTTTATCGTTTCGATTTTCCCAAATTTCTTATTTTGCGTAATGGTACCTTTACCTTACCTTTACCATATTATTTTAAAAAGACCAATAGTAAGTTTCAATGTTAGTATTGTTAAAAATTTTACAAAGGTTATATGTTCTTATTCAACAAAGAACAGCATTGAAATATTTGTAGAATAATTAATAAATATTATGCCGGAACCTTCGCATGTAATTCGAATTGTTGTTATCCGGCCTTTTTGTAACGCTTTGCTGCTCATCATGTAATTCTATCTTCAAAGTTAAAGAGGGAAAGTGTTACAACATTGCTGAATTCTATTCGTTTCTGTTAGAATTATTTTGTAGACCACTCAAAAGTTTATCGACGTCTGTAAAACTAAAAACATCTGTTATCAATATAGAGAACTTCTCATAGTGTTTTGGCTTCTTTTTTTTAATGAAAGAGTGCAATTTAAACTCCCTATGCTGTACAGAGAGAAAATTCGAAAGCCATGTCTTTTGTAATGTTCCATAGGTATAGTAGATAGGTAAATGTATTTATTTTGCTACAATTAAGTCGATTGATTTTAAATTTCTCTTTGCATCATGGGCGGCAACGACTTTATAACAAGTATCTTTTCACTTTTTTTTCGTCCGCCTCTGGAGTCACGCGTATCTGCCGTTCTGTCATAACCGCGCACAACTTATTCTCAAACTGTGTTAGCACGAGTCGACTGTGGTGTTTCTAAATTATATTTTATTATTTTAGTTGCGCACAAGTGTTTTATGTTATGTTTAATGCATCCTATTTTGTTTCTTTGCCACTTTCAGTATTAAGTCACAGTGCGTCATGTTGTGGGCAGCTGTTTATGTTATTTGTGTACATTGTTATTAATAAAATGCACAAAACTGTATAGTTTGGAAGTTCGCCTCTTAGTAGTGCATGCCTTGATATCGCACCCGAGTAAAACGAAGACAAGATGACGAATTCGCAGGTACTGTTTTTTTTTATTTGCACTATTTTCTACCTCATTTAGACAATCACAATCACATTCAAATGAAGTCGTATCGTCAGGGAAAAAAGGCATGACGTGCAACAAAGTGTTTACTTCTTGGAGTGAATGCACTAAGCATTCACTTCGGCATTAGATAGAATCGGCGTACATAAAATCGTTATCTATTGATTGGTGTTTAATTGAAGCGGTTAAAACAACTTTCTTAATGGAAACAGACGCTCCAGCTAATGTGATGAAGGAAACTCTTACACGATCTTAATATAAACGCTAGCATTCGCATTTAGCTAATTTACCTGTCTGAAAAAGTCTAACTTTTTTAGCGTTCAAATAATAAATGAGTGATAAAATTCAACTTTCAAACCTATTGTAGTTCAAATACGTCGATGATAATAATTATGTACATAGTAATTAGCCTCTATTACCGTGTTACACTTGCATTATTGTCGCCTTATTCTATGAACTGGGCCTCCCCTTGGGTCATTTCAGTTAGCTTGTTGCTTTCATTTAAGTAAGTGTAATAAAACTTTAGAAGTGTAGAGTTTTTTATTTATTTCAATTATACTTTTTGTTATTTGCATCTCATATTATATGCTTATATGCTGGAATATGGATGCCTTCATTTTTTTCAACGGTATTAATCACTGAATTGTCTTTAATATAGATGCATTATTATATAAGTATTTGCCTAAAATATTATTATAAAATATGTTTAATATTATATTTAATTGTTTCGTTTGATAAGTGTACTGTTTGCGATTAACAAAATATCTTGATCATCTAATCAAGATAATTCTTATCGTAAATTAAGCGTCGCCTAGAAACTGATTATAAAGTAATTTAATACCAAAGTAGACATTAGACTATAATTGAATAAAATTATGGTTGATATTAAAGCTGCCGACCAAATGGACACCTAACCCTTTCCTAGTTAATCATTATGACATTTAAAACGTTCAACAGAACGGCGAAGCTAGTTTATTAACAACAACAAACAGTATATGTCGGTATTTCTGATAATTCTGAGTTCATTTATTACGTTCACGATTAATTTAATGGAAATATTTTAATAAAATTTTGAATAATAAATTGCACGATTATGAAATTATCCAACAAAAATACTTTATTCTAATATCACGGATATTTAGCTAATATATCTGAGTAATTTTTTATGTAAGTAAAAAGATAGCTAATTGTCCCGTGTATAACCGAAACGTTCAATTTAACTACTAAGCCGATCGATTGAATCGATTATGAAAAATCCTTTAATTTGCTTGACGGTAGAGTCCGTAGTTATTGAATAATTATTGATAGTTAAACTATTTAATGACTCTTTATTTGGCTTCTCCGCAATCGGCTAAAATTATGTACTGTTACGAACAGGAAAGATTAGACACAGTCTCAATGTCACGGTACCCCGGTCGACAGCTGAAGCATTTCTTAACTGCTTTAGAATAGAGGCCGCTGCTTCGCTTTATTAGCTTTGCCTTAGGGTAATTTTTCCGCGTTTTTAACTTTATGACTATGAAATTATGAATAAAGTAAACATATATAGGTTCGCTTGATTAAATACAGAATTGTAGAATACGACGAGAATAATATGGTACTGTGGAAGAAACATGTCCAATTTTGACCTAAAAATTTACTAACGCGTCTAGTGATGTGATGTATCTCAAAATGTAGCTTATTTTTTACTAATTTTATATCAAGAAATTTAATCTTAAAATAGAGTCAGGATAAAAGTTGCGAGGCCCCAATGCGATTCTGACCCAATGACGGTTTTTACGTTTCGTTTCATCTAATATGTTATTTCGTCATAAGGCAAAAAAGTGCACATTAACAATTACATTTAGTTTTATTTCTATATTTACGAGTCAAACTATAAAAAGCTTTGATTTTGATGCATTAATTTTTAAATGTAGCTTCACCGTTATAACCTCAAAACATTTACAAATTACGAATCTCCCTACTCTCCGAATAAGATATTTTATTTTATGCAAAAACTAATTTAAATTATCATTAATGGTGGATAGATGCGACATTTAAAAAAAAATGTGACAGGTCAATCAATGTATAGAAAGTGGACATGATCCTTTCTATCGAACATCTTTGTACTATAGATACTTGAAGTTTGTCTACCAGATGTATGAGTGTAATAATATTCCTTTGCAAAGTGTTACTCACCTTTAAACTATTTTTATTCGGAGAATGATAAGCATATTTTTTCAGGTATGGTTCCGAGGCGTGAGAAGTTCAAAATTCCGCCATGTGTACGGCGTACCATTCAAAAAGGAACGTTGTTATGATAACATAAAGATCACTAGGAATGCTCACGACTCGAACTTCTGTGCTGTGAATCCAAAATTCGTGGCCATCGTCACTGAGGTAGCTGGTGGAGGCGCCTTTCTTGTTTTACCATTGGATCATGTAAGATATATAAATTTTGATTTTATTAAATAACAGTAGGTTATATAAAATTTGATCTTTTATTAAAAATAGAAAATAGGAAGTGTCTAATGCTCAAAAATTGCTTCCTGATAAATATTTATATTTAAATGCATGATTAAAATATTATAGATTATGTATAATGTGACATAATTTGATTTGGAATTATTTAAATTTATGCTAAATAAATTTTACTGACGATTTAACATATTTAATATTGGTGAATGTATATTAAATTATGTAGAAGTTGTTATCGAACGAACAATCTGTGATAGTAGCACTTTAATTGATAACTTAATTTCATTAAACTAGCTACAATAAATAATTACTTTTTACAACAGCTTAGCTGTTTTTTTTTTCAATATTAAGATTAACTTCATTCATAGTAACAATTAACGAAGTTAATCTCCTTGCACTCAGCACGGTGTCGTGTGTAAATTTTTTTGTAAGCTTTATGCTCCGATTCAATGGAGAATTGCGTCTTCACACTCATCAATCTTATTAATTGAGACGCTTGTATGGCTAATAAATGATTTTCACATATGATCTCTCGGCTTCATAATCAAACCGTCTATGAAATAAAATATATAGTTTTTTATAAAAAATAGTCTTAGTATTTTATACTTTAACTTTTAAGGTAATAGGTACTTTAACATATTCAACAATCTCGGGTGACCTAGAAATAGATTCTTGACATTTCGTCACAATTAATTCATAGCGAAAGTAAAACTTACAAAAAATATTAACACATTCACTTGAAATAAAATGTTATAACCCAAAATGTCTCTCCTACTTATAAAAAAATAATTTAGTATTTTATATGATCGGTTTCAATCATAGAATTTACTATCACATCAATTTGGACTGCTTTTGACCTTCACATGTGACGAAATACGCATCGAATATGAAGAATATTCCATAGGTATCGATTTTGAACACATCACTAACCATAAAAACGTTTACTTCAAATTAATGCAGTTCGAACACGATAAGCATCGATAGAACTAGAATCATTTAATAAAAGCGTGAGAAACCGAAACGAAATGTATAATGTATTAAGTAAGGCATTGTTAAAAGTAAAACTTTGGCTCAGTTACAAAACAGACCACAGAAATTGCTACATACAGGTTCGTTGCTCTAAAACGGCATCTCTGGTATTATCTGATTTCTAATTGCATTACTTAAGTGCAGTATTGCTTTAACTGACATATGTAATTGTTAGGGCAAAATTATCTTGTCCAGCATTGTGGTAATTTTACTACTTTGAAGTTATGAAAATGTACTTATTTAACAGTACAGCCTAAGTATGTTGATATTAAAGCGATAACTCGTAAAAACCGTACCGGAAAATTATTTGGATGAGAGATGTCCCCTACATTATTTGATCATTCAAATCCGTTGTATAGAGCGCTACTGTCCACGCACGCCTAGACTTAGGTAAAAAAATAGTAAATGCATGTTGCACATTAAATATTTTTAGACATTGATTTCTAGACTTGTTCAGTAAGAAAATGTAAATAGGAAAAACGTAGATAAGCCTAGGGGCTATGATAGGTCATGGCATATCAGCATTAGAACTATCGGTTTTAGGAAGGTATTTAAAAGTACATAAGAATAATAAATTCGTCTGCGTTTGTTAATATTTTTTATGTCCCAAAACTACTTTCTTCCAACCGTTAGCACAAACATCCATTAAAATTGACATTAATTTAAAGCGACATTACCGATATTTAACATACATTAGAGCTTAATCTTTATGGACGTCTGTGCAACTGACCGTTAGTCACGTATAATTTCATGAAACTACTAACAAAAGTCACGCAATCATAAAATTTTGTTTCTACTTTTCTCATAGTAGGTTCTTCATCTGTTACCAAAAATGACCACATGCCTCAAGTTAAAACTAAATAATAAAAGATAGCAATAGATCATTTAGTTAATAATAAAATTATCATAATTATTTAAGTCATGTTGTAGTAACTATGCAACAACCCCTAGGTGAAGGAATTTTTAAAATCTACTTATTAGTTTCGGAGCCTATTCAAACCAACTTAGAAGGAATATTTCCTCATTATAATATTAGTATAGATAACAATTAAATAAATATTTTCATTTTCCAGACTGGCCGGTTGGACTTCAACGCTAGCCGTGTGACGGGCCACAAAGGCCCAGTGCTGGACATAAAATGGAACCCCTTCAACGACAACATTATAGCGTCATGTTCCGATGACTGCACGGTAATTTCGTTTGCGTTGATTTTTTTCTTTATTACACTTACTAGAGTTTTTTTTTCGTCGGATGCGCGATTTGCGCTCGGAAATTACCACCCATTACGCGAGGATGTTCCATCTGACCGATTCCATAGATTTCATTAATGATATGAAAGTGCGGTTGATCTCATTGAACATTAATGCGGTATTCCTTCTAGAATATATATTGACGTGCGATACCGATTCCCTTATCATATCAATAGATACCCTATTGTTTAAATTAACTATAGCCACATAAATTATTCCACTACGTCATCCGAGTTTATTGTTTTTGATTGTGCGTATTAACTGACTATTTATATTGATAGACAATTAGGAATGATATTGAATTTGAATAGAAATACTAGATTATTTTACTGTTTGAACAGTTTAGATGTTTGTTGTTTCTTATTTGATATAATATTAATATAAAGACCGTTACTAATATGTTTTTCATTGTTTTTTAATAAAAGTAAAGATTAATTCTTTATTCAAATAGACTTCTTAAAAGTACTTTTTAATCGTCCAACATTTTTTTCCAACCACTCGTTCAGGACGTCTTTTGGCTGATAAGAAGAACGAGCAAGAAACTCGCCAGCTCTAATAGGAGTAATTACAAAAACCATGTCATTAACAGATAAATACATTATAAATAGAGAGAGAAAAAAAGATACTGAGAAATGCATTTTGACTAATAATAGTAAGCGCTACTATTTATAACATTAACAATAAACTTTAAAAGCACAACTTAAGTAGGAAAGAAAGGAAGTCACAACAGTATTGTCGTTTTCTTACGAACTAAGAAACTTTCTGTTAACCTTAATCACAATAAAATTTATTTGAAAGTGTGTCAATTGGCATCAGTATGATTTGAAAAGTTCATAAAATAAAAGAAAACATAATATTCTGTTGCCATTCAATCGTATACGCTCTTTGACCACGAGATAAAATATGGAATGCCACACATTCGTCATTAAGTGCTAGCTGATCGAGTAAGAAAATTAATCTTATTACAAAAATTACACTACATAGTAGTTTTACACTTCTAACCTAACCTATTTATCGGTTCTTTAATATATTCATTATACGAATTATAATTACGCCAAAATATAAAAACATTATACAAAAATAAATACCTTGTCTTACCTTGTTTATCACGTACAATAAATACGTACTAGGGACTGCTCTATATACATCATGGTATTGGTGTCACGTTATATTTTAGTAATTAAGATTTCTTCTTTGAAGGTGAAACTATGGCACATCCCTGACGGCGGGCTCTCGATGCACCTGACCGACTGGCTGGTGGAATTACAAGGCCACAAGCGTAGAGTCGCCTACATAGAATGGCATCCGGTTGCCGAAAACATTCTTTTCAGTGCTGGCTTCGACTACTTGGTAACATTTTTTTTTATTAAACTTTCACCCGGCCTATAAGCAAAATTTGATTACCGCACAATATTGCACTAGATTTTACAAAATATGTATTTATTTATTTGTAGTTTAAACAAGTTAAACTAAAAAATAGAAGATTATTTTTTTAATCAGTGGTATAATTGTTATTCCTTTTTAAAATAATGTTTGGCCACTTCCGTTGTCAGTGCGGTTTATTAGATTTTGTAATAATGTAAATAAGGTAATTTATTAGACAAAATTAATTAAATTTTTAATTTTTTCTAATTGAAACTTTATATATTATTGTACGAATTCGGTTACTTATTTAAATAATAAAATATTTTAATAATTAAGATATTTATTTCTTCATGCAAAATGGATTTACTAAAGCTTTAAACGCCAACAATGTTGAAATCAGAATAAACTAATTATCAGCTAACTCACAAATTTCAAAAACATATGTCTCGGCGAATTATGAAAATTCACTTCTTCACAGTAACAGTAAAGTGCAGTTTTTGGTAATAACAAAATAGCGGTTGATCAGTGTTTATTTTTATTCATGATTGATACATATCACGCGTTTTAAACTCTGGGAACGGTTGGAAATAAACTGCACTATTTTCCTTTAGTTAGGTTTCTGAATATACTTAATTGTCATGACTATTAAAATACTTTTTTACAATTCTAACAACATTATGCATTACTTAATAAAAATTATATTAAAAAGAAGGCCATTATATTGCCTCATCCATTTTTATTAATTAATGTATAGAAGTTAATTTAGAATTTCACGTCATTTGTTAATTTATGCATTTTATGTCTTTTTTTTAAGATTACACTAATATTGATTTCCTAGTCATTGCATTGAATCAAAATACACTTAACATTGTAGTACAATACTCTATTGTTAGATAAGATACGTTCTGTGCATTCAATACATTAGGTTAAATCATATGCACTCAATGTTCAATACAGCATTGAACATTGAATGCATGATTAAATCCAATGTCAAGGAAATAGATGTAAGTGATTATACAGTAAACTTTATACAACAGATTTCTTTGATTGGTATTTTTTTTTTATAATAGTAATTCTTATGTTACAGATTTTCGTATGGGATGTTGGCAAAGGTGAAGCGATGCAAGTAATAGATTGTCATACAGACGTGATTTATTGTATGTCTTTCAATCGCGATGGATCTCTACTTGCCACTACAAGCAAAGACAAAAAATTGCGCATCATAGAGCCTAGAAGAGGCATTGTTCTCTCTGTAAGTTGTTTTCAATATTTAAAAGATGTAGAATTTTAGCATTGTGACCAGTGGATGGGAAAATACCGGGGTGTTTTGGGCGAATTGCGTTTTCTCCCTATAAGCGCCCATAAATTCCCGCCCATTGGGCATTTAACAAAATTTATTTAATAATTAAACTAAGTTAGTTGTGTAATTGTTAAATATAAGTAAATATACATTACAAGTACATGTTGATACATAATAATAAAAATACATAAACCTATACAAATAAAATATATTTTATTCAATGACTGATTCATTATCGCTGTTTTAAATTTGATCAGTGGTATTTATCAGTAGAGTTATTTGTGGAGAAAATACTCACTACAAGAGGTTTACGGAAATTAAATCCCTTCGTATGAAAGTATCAGTTTTTAAGTTAGAATTTTTTTATTTTATTTTTAGACCATATTTAATGAAATAGCAAATAGCTGTTTCAGCAAATATAGAAATTATATACAAAACTTCCAACTCCTATTTCACCCATTAAGGGAAGAATTTCTACAATCACTAATAAAGATATTTAAGAATTATTAATCAGTAAACGGTGAAGAAGTTGTTAACTCATTTTTATTAGTAACGTAAAAAAAAGTTTCATGTGACTGACAAACTTTCATACAAATTTTCAACCCTTATTTCAGCTCTTTAAGGGTTGAATATTCAAAAATCCTCTCTTTATGAGTATAAACTACACAAAATAATTCTACTGAGCAAAAATCATGAGTCCAACTCTAGTATGATGAATTAGTAAATTAATCAGAACAAGTTCTTTTATAAATAGAGATTGATTACACGCTTATTTACGTCATAAAAATCAATACTAAAATATTCATTTCTTTTAAATAATTCAATATTAATAGCTAAGTCATTGACATAAATCTCCATTTATTTAATATCTTTCTGAAAACAATATAATTTTTATGCTCTGTAATTGTTCATTTATTGCCTTCAAATAAGATTTATACCGAAAATTAATGGGCTTTTTTCTTATCTGCACTCCGTGATACTTTATAATAACTTTTAATATGATTTGGATCTAATATGAAAGCACTAATGTTGTCAATTTGACAGTTTTATTTGTTTCAAAAATTTCAATATAATAGCAATTTTTCGTATTACGTATTAAAAAGAACTGTAGTTTTTAATATTATCCATATAAATGTAAAATGATTTTCTAAAGAATAAACCTATTATTTTAAATTAATTAAAAAGTGACAGACACTGTTTTAACTGCTTGTCACTATGAATGGAAACATGAACACAATTTCCCTTTATGTACTTTATTTATTATCACACTCAAAAATCGTGCATTTGTTACGACAATAAAGGTACTTTTATACGGTGTCAGTATCAGGCCTTGGTGCTGCTGATGCCGAAAACTGACTGTTCACACTAGTCAGTGGTCGTGTCTTTACAGTTCAATTCAAACAAGCGCTGACTTGTCACTGAATACAGTGTAAACAGGTCATAATAGATTTTTCAATGCAGTTGCTCATAAGCGCTATTTTTTTATCCATCGTATACACCGAAAGTGAGTCTTTAAACACGTGTTAAATAAAAATGTACTGAAATCGTTTACTGCACACGTGCTTAAAAGTAATCTTTTTTGGCCGAGCACCAAAGAAGTTTAAAAAAAATTGATGAAAATATGTCAAACTTTAGAGGCAAGGAGCCTAGAACGAATATTTTCAAATAAAAATGTATGACACGAAAACATGTTCAAATATCACGTTTAATTATAACAAATAATTTTTACCTTTAATACATACTTAGTTTTATTAACCTATATATTTGTTTTATTTTCTCGCAAAAAGCATTGAAAAATGTTGTAAGAAACTTGAGCGTAAAAGGTTTTTCGAATTTGTGCCAATTTGGCCCTCATTCGTAAAACCTTACTTTCCGCACTCGTATCTTTAATAACTATTTCTGCAATGTTTTTTGAAGCTACGCATTGTAATGAAACATACCATTGTGAACAGGAAGCTCCGTGCCATCTCGGTACAAAGGCATCCAAATGTACATTCCTGGGCAGTCGCGGCAAGGTGTTGACGACTGGTTTCTCTCGGTACAGCGACCGTCAGTATGCCGTGTGGGATCAACACGAACTTGATAAGCCGCTCGTCTGCGAAACCATTGACAGCTCATCGGGTGTAGTGTTCCCGTACTTCGATTACGACACTAATATGGTAATCATCGACACTAATTATACTGTTAATTTGTTTAAAAACGAGACAATATATCCATAATCCACTGTTATATTCAATATTTTTATTATTGACGTATCATCATCATCTGCCCTTTCATGCCCTCCTTATGGAAGGTTAAGGAGGAACCTCCATGCTGGCCAAATGAGGATAAGGGGATTTTAAAGACTGCAAATGCAGCCGGGACCCACGGCTTAACGTGACGGAGTAGCTCGAAAAGAAAGCATTAATCACTACGCCGCCGAGCTACTTTTACTATTTTTTAAATATACCGAAATGTTTTATGCGATATATTTAATAACTTATTTTCTATTGCCGTTGCTCATTGCGCCAGAATATTAAAACGTAACAAACAGATTCATAAAAAGAGAAAATTTATGAATTTTCTCGATATTATTATCTGGATTTATCGGACCAGACTAGACTGAAATCGCACTGAGTTTAAATGCATGCGGTTTAGATGTATCTAAAATTGAAGATCGACATCGACATTGCGGTATATCCAAATATCGTTAGCGAGATATTGTAACGAGACAACCGGAAAAAAGGATATTCGGATACAGACTTCTAGGTACTCATGTTCTACGATACAAGAATCGCACCTTCTTTGGCTCGGCATTTTAATTATTATTCGCAACTATTACAAATAAAACCTACTTTACCTCTGAGCATACTCCATAATAGTTACCATTTGTTAGGTTTTAAATATCGGTTGAATCGGTGGTTCAATCAAAAGGTCCTTCGAGCCGGATATCTTATATAAATATTTCTCCCCGATGCTGGAGGCGATACTCTCTCTACTCCACCTATATATCGAACTTATGTATTATCTAGTATATTGTTGGACTGAAAGACTACGTCAACTAATCTTATCGAGTTGGCTTTCCATGTGGAAAACGAACCATTAAGCATTTTAGTGTTAATAACTGCTAAATACAAATGGAAAATATAAATCGCTGACTTATATTATTGATGTAATGTTTGTAGGTCTATCTTGCGGGGAAAGGTGACGGTAACATTAGATACTACGAAGTAGTGGACGAACCACCATATGTGCATTTCCTCAATCAGTTCCTATCTGGAAATCCACAGGTAAAATACTTTTTTTTTTCTATATATTACAATCAAATCATTTCTAAGCAACATAGTTTTTTTTTTTTAATAATAGCTGGTATTTTTGGTTTACATAGTAAACTATCTGTTTTCCCTCCACTTCACCTGCGTAAATATAAAGCCTGTGTCACCCGTGTACTATATGTAATTTTTCGTTGATGAAAAGATTTTTAAAATACAATTTTTCCTCGATATTAGTATAGACAATTTTATTAATAAATTTTGTTTGTTACAGCGAGGTCTCGGCTTCATGGCCAAACGTGGTCTTAACACTGCTGCATGTGAAGTATTCCGTTTCTATAAACTGCACACCTCCCGTGGCCTATGTGAACCCATCTCCATGATAGTGCCACGTAAATCCGATTGCTTCCAGGTACTCAAATACATACTTTAATCTTATATCAAAGTACCATGTAAACTACCAATCTTGTTTGGAATTGTTTCTTGAGGAATATTGTAATAAAAATTGTATAGAAACATATTTGTGAAGATGCAACTCTGCAAAAATCTCAAGTCTGTTATCATGCCTACAAGTTTTGCATACATGTACATGTGGTAGTCGAATTTATTATGATAATGTATATTAATTTTGCCTTTAGAAGGTAACCTAGTTTTTCAAGGTCTAGCAAGCCTATTTGTTGACTGAACTTAAAGTCGTAATTTCCAATGTGTCAAAATAGCTTATTTGTATGACCGCTTGTCCACAGAGCTCTGTGAACCATTTTTTTTCGGTTGTCCCCAGAGTTACAGAATAAGGGGGCAGGGCCTAATCGTCTAATTTCAAAATCTCTCTCAATCCCATTTAATTTGACATTTGAAAGTTATTCACGAACTCCCCGCCACAACTATTTGACAAGTGGTAGCGATTGCGGACGCGACGTTCTTTTAAAGATATTGAATAAAATAGTTATATGATATATATTTGCTTTAAATTTGAATTTGAATGAATGAATTTGAACGAAAAAATTTAGCAAATTTTTTTTTGATCATTCAAATCATCGTTAGTTCCAAAAGCGATTGCGACTTAAAACGTTACTAAATTCCGTAGATCCGTAGATTTCAAAGGATTGTGATGGATTTTAAAATAAGGTCTTTTAACCGAATTTCCTTATTTATAATGCTAATTATGTTTTTGTTTATAGGAAGACTTATATCCCGACACTGCGGCACCTCTGCCCGCGTTATCTGCTAAAGATTGGCTCAACGGAATGAACGCGCAACCTTTATTGATCAGCATGAGGACAGGTATATTTTGTTCACATTTTCAATAGAATACTACCGGTACCATTTTCCTCATTAATTTTTTTAAATCAATGTCTTATAATAAATTTCCTTCTGATCAGAAGGAAAATTCACAGGTTGAATTACAATTATCGTTTGATGTTTTTGCCTAGTGCATTCGTGAATCACGCATTCTACGTACTAATTTTCGACTTAAGAGTACTGACCGCAAACGACGCGTGATGTCATGCCCTTCTTATTTATATCTATCCTTCATATTGCGGCTAGCATTCAAGATATTTTTATTCTATAAAAAAGAGCTGTCTGAATCATATATAGATATGATTTACGGTCTAGGGAATCTTTCAGTAAAATATTATGTATGTAAGAAAGCATTACGTTTCCTTCACAAAAAAAGAAGTAGTGTTCATAATCTTAACACAAGAAATAAAAATAAACTTGCCGTTCCAAGCTTCAAACTTTAAAAAACCAATGGATCATTTCTGGGTAAATATGCATATTTCTGCATATTTTTTTAGATAAAATTAATGTATAACTATAAAGTAAAAATATAAAAAAGTTGTCTATACCCCTGTTATAAGCATAAATTATGAAACATGTTGGAAGTTTTCGTTTGTATTTTTTATTTTTTGGAATTTTCATTTTGTAATTTATAAATCTGTCGATTCACAAAAACCGAAACCGGCTATGATGAAACATCGTATAACGTTACAGATAACGTCACGATTTGGACAGGGCACAGTCAGTATAGGTACGGTCGGCCAAGAAAGTGGTCTACCAGTTTTGACAACATTTCCCGTGTCTTTAAAGCATCGCTAAAGGCGAATCTTAGAATTGCATACAAACAATAAAAGAGATGCACAATGCTGACGTGTTGTCGTAGAGCACAAATGTTATTTTGACCTTTGCAGCCTATGCATTAGATAATAATTTGCAACAATAAATAGTCTTCACAATATTTCATAAATTTAAAATTTAAGTAGGTCACTTCAAAGTGGAAACTATTTTGTTACGAAAACTCTTTTACTGAAAAAGAATATATCACTTGACAATTCATGTCAAATATTTTCTCGGCATTTTCCGTAGGTATTTTCCTAATTAATTTACACTAAAATGCCCCGAAATTTATCCATTAACGAAAGAGCACAAATAATCGCATTACACAATGAATATTGGTGAGATTTCTAGAGAATTAAATGTGTCGGTAAGTATTATTATGTCTGACGTGAGTTTAATGTAAAATCTCAGACCAAGTCCGAGTGTAAAAAAAAATTTTATTTTTTCTGTTCATATTTTATTTTTGATTATAGAGACAAGCTGTCCGTCTTTGAATAAGACGAGAAAGCGAGGAGGGGATTTTGAACGCTCGGAGTCGTAGCGGTCGTAGACCTGAAATATCAGATACTCAGCGAGTCTTCATGAGACGGAGTTATGAGGAATCTGGCTTTATACCAACGCGTTATTTTGCCGACATATTTGACGTGACTCTCCAAACCATTAGAAACCATTTACATTCCATGGGCTTACATCACAGGCGTTATGCAAAGAAAATTTATATGACTGACGCTCATAGAATGGCCAGATTAAATTTCGCCATAGAATATTTGGATTTTGATTGGAGTAACACTGTTTTCTGTGACGAGAAAACTTTTAAATCCAGTCAACACGGGCGTCTACACCTTTTGCGATTCAATAAAACACGATACACGCAAAATCATGTCATGCCAAATAGAGAATCGGGTCGTATCTCGGTAAATTTGTATGGATGGATGACTGCTGATGGTGTTGGAGACTTGACCTTTTTTGGATTCTCTTATGGTTCAGAGATGGTGTAACCGTAATGAACGAACAGCAGAAGCACTACAAGGGCACTGCAATGATGTTTGGGAGGAAACACGTGGGTCTGATATCTGCTCAAGACTGGTGGGCTCGATGAGGGAACGTCTCCAAGCTGTTATAGAGGCAGATGGCGGCTACACAAGATTTTAAGAATTATAATTTGATAAAAGAATTGTATATATTTTTTAACAACCAAAGAATTAGCATTTTCACTATCTCTTCTAGTTTTAGCCCTTGTCTCGCACTAAGCTATGGGTCGGCGCAATATGTTTTTCGTCGCTATTCATTTCTGTTATCCGTTATCTCAGTATATTCAGACCTATAACACGCATAGCTTCTTACGCATAGCATTTCACTACCTACAGATTTTTTTTATTTGTATTAAAATATAATTAATCTACATTCTAATGTAGGATATTTGTAGACTATAAGACTTTATTTACGATATTCTAACTCTAAAGTATTTAAACATACAAACAGACAGACAGAAAGAAAAAATATTTTTGGCTTCTATTAGTCTTATGAAGGCCGTCCATATATTTTTTTTCCAAAACATCTTACAAATGTAACCTTGTTACATTTTTATTATAGGTATAGATAATTACTGTCAAAGGTTACGTCAAAATGATGAAGATAGCAATAATGACGTGTACTTTACGTGTCAAAAAATTAATGCTACGGAAAATCAACCTTGTTGTTAGTTGACGTAACACGCGAAATTCAACCTTAGGGTGGTAGACCACTTTCTTGGCCGACTGTACAGTTTATGGTAAACTAATTATGTATATTGTAGTGAAGAGAGACGTAATACTTGAGGTCATTATCCTTTTTTACAAGTTAGGCCAGGGCTGGTTTTTCTTTTTTTTTAACAAAATTAAAGCTTCATTACTATTCTCTTTGAAACAAGCACATGGGTATAAAAAAAAAAGATAATATTACATTAAAGAAAGCACTTTAGTAACAGAGTCATTAGAAATCCAACCCACGACCATCCATCGTATCAACAGTACTAGTTTTAATTATGTTTTAAACGTGGTGCACTTTTGTTATTTTAATCAATGTTTTACCAACCCTGCCCCTAGGCACAGACTAGATCATGTTACAGTATATAATATCAAACACAGGTGTGACTATATCAACCCACAAGCCGCGCACTAGCAACAAAGACGCGCCCGCGTTGCAACCGCAAGATGCCAATAACAGGAAGAAATTCGCGTTTTTATCGAGGGAGACCACGCCGGACTATCGCCCGCTCGGCACCTGGCAACCGGACTCGCAGGAAGAAGCGCCTATGGTAAGTGATAAAAATTAAGGAAAAAAAACTACCCCCGCTGAGTATCTTTTCGATTCATAGCCATAGATTTACGAATTGATGGCGTTATTTTCTTAATATCACAAGTTAGATAATTTTTTTATTAAATATACCATGCATCCGTGTAAATACTTAAAAAATCTACTTTACCCAAGGACTCTGTGATGGGACTCTAGCCCAGGCGACAGCTCTAACTGCTGAGCTACTAACTCTAATTGACTAACGACTCTTTCAAGCATTTTTTTCTTTTTCGCTACTAACGAGCGTATTTTCATCAATGTTCAAGCAAACCATCCAAACATATAGCATTGTAAATGCAAAATTAATCAAAAATAAAGATCTTCGAATTGAATGAAATGTCAGATTTCATATAGTGTTCCTCGTATTGATTTTGACAGCATAAAATTACTAATTACCAACTCTAAACTTATTTATTAATATATATAACTATGAAATTATAATGTTTAGTTTAACTATACGTTCAGTTATTGCCCGCAAAATTTGGGCAACCGCCCACCCGCTAATAAATACACGTGCACAAACGGCAACACAGCCTCACAACCACCACCCAATTATTATTCCAAACTTGTTTGACTTCTCTACGAAGCATCCTTACGAAATATTTTAACGTCTACTAACGACTTTTTACTCGACGCCAAGTTGATCAAGCGTCATAAACTAACGGGCGACCCGTTGCCAGTCCGCTCGTCTACGCTCTTCTATCATTCCGTGTACAATTTCGGAAGCAGGTATATCCACCGTTCTATTTGCTTTTTGTAGTTTGACTCGTAAATATGGAAATGAATCAAAAATTTAATTGCTAATCTGCACTTTTTAACCTTATAACGAAAGAATATTTTTCCTTAATAGATGAAACAAAACTTAGCAAACATTGGGTCCGAATTGCATTGGGGTAGTGAGGCAAACCATTATTTTAGGGTCCGTATCGCATTCGGGTAGTTATCATTGTACTATTTAAAAATAATTATCGGCCTCGTAATTTTTATTGTGACCTGATTTTAAGACCGAAATATAAAATAAGTAAAAAATAAGCTACATTTTGAGTTAAATCACATCACCAGTAAATTTTTAGATCAAAATTGGACATGATTCTTTCTTTTCATCTTAACCAAAGTTTAAAAATATTTCGGCTGTTTGAGTTGATTGCCTGAACATTCACTAGTAGCGAAAGGTAGTGCTTGAAAAATTCATCAGTCCTGTTAGGTCCTGGGTAACTCAGTGGTTAGAGCAGTCGCCCGGATTGCAAAGGTCGTGGGGTCAAATCACACCTCAGAATACCTGGGGCTATGCTAACTTTAGAAACCCTTCATCGTCGTCGATTTTTTCAGTTTTCGATTGCTTTAGTGGTTTTTCCGAGAGAAAATCCATCAAATAAACGAAAATTCATTCTTTATTAGTTAGAAACGCTTCCTGTATATGTACAGAATCTTCATGCTCTGAAACTTATCCACTTTTATTAACGAATCGAACCTACCCAGAAGGTTTACCAATCATTGGTTGCACTTACGTTTATATATTTGAATTTACAAAGGCAGAATTTCTTTAGTGTAATTTAATATAATTTCGCGTAATTTCAATTTGTGCTAAGGAAAAACCCGATCAATGGGTTAGGTTAGAACTATGACCAATAAAATCGAGTGTGCCGCGGTAGCGACTTTTGAGCTTATACCAGTACTTACATATCTTTATAACAATATATAGATCTGAAATATATGTCAAAAGATCAGAAAGTTTTTGGCAGCGTTTTCGAGGAAAGCTTCCAATCGGCTTTATTTTTTTCCGACATATTGAACTAATATCGTCAGTTTGCGCAAAACCTAAACTTACTAGATTTGTAATGTGTTTGTATTTTTAATAATTGACTACTTATTTAATTTTGTATTAATTGTCTTTAATTTTAATGAATTCGCATGATTTTTTATTTTATTTTTTAATAATAATAAAAATTTAGCTATATTTTATATGACTGAAATGATAAATCGTACACTAGTAAAGGTTTCAGTTTGAAATCACCAGTGGCATTACCACCCAGCAGAAGTTTTAGTGGATCTTTCGCAGATTTGAATTTCGCGTTATAATGAAACCGCGCATAACGGGGTCGCGTAAAGCGGGGTATTACTGTAAAGATATTAAATGTATACCTAAAACTATTCTAATGTATGTGCATTATAAACTCGTAATTTTTAAGTCGGAATCGCATGCCAATCGACTTTCCTGGAAGTGAAGTTTATGCCATCCACTGTTTATTGCAAGTATAAGTAACATTGTGGCATAAAAAGTTTTACCATAAGTTTATTTTTCAATTGTCGCTTCAGGTGCAAGTCACAGAGAAATGCCAGAAAACAAACGCAAATCAAAACACAAAATTCCATCAACTCCAACGAATGTTCGGGAAACAGGCGGGCGGTCCAGAACCAGTGCCGCTATACAAGCAAATCAACCAAGGCGACGTTTTCAGCACCGAACATGAGGTACGGAGATATCTTTAAAAATTTAATGCATTCAAACATTATTTAATTCACATCATTCGATTATTAATACTTTTCCAAGTTTTAAGTAATTATTCCTTGTTTTGTTGTGATACCATTCTACATGGAACTGTCATCAAGAGACATAGTTTCTTTTAACTTTGAATACCAATATTTAAACTGTTAGTACACTAACGCAATCGCATTCGAATGCAAAACATGCGACATCAATGCCACCCTTAGAGAAACTAAATTTGTGATATCCGGATTGTCATCATAAATTAGAACTGGTGGCAACCCTGAATGCGAAACATGTGCATCAGCGTAATGACAATGACAGTCATTTTATTGAACAAGACAAAGCACATGGGAAACATTGTCATAAAACTGACAAGATTTCGCATTAGCATAAGATCGCGTCAACGGCGTATCAACGGCGTTAGTGAGTAGTGAGTTTCAAATTTTGCCGCGAAAGCGTCACTTCTGCCATAGCGTCACTATGATGTCACACCACTCTGAATGAATACATAAGGTTGAATTCTCTAAGTTCTGACATAAGAAAGGCGTGACGCTATTTGCGGTCACGTGACAACAAGCATAAAATATTTTTTCAATGCAGTTGCTCATAAAGCGCTATTTTTTTTAATCCATTGTAAACACCGAAAGTGAGTCTTTAAACACGTGTTAAATAAAAATGTACTGAAATCCTTTACTGCACACGTGCTTAAGAGTATTTTTTTATTTTTTTTTGGCTGAGCACCAAATAAATTTAAAAATTTGATGACAAACTTTAGAGGCAAAAGTATTTCAAGGAGCCTAGAACGAATATTTTCAAATAAAAATGTATGACACGAAAACATGTTCAAATATCACGTTTATTTTAACAAATAATTTTTACCTTTAATAGATACTTAGTTTTATTAACCTATATATTTGTTTTATTTCCTCGCAAAAAGCATCGAAAAATGTTGTAAGAAACTTGAGCGTTAAAGGTTTAAAACCTTACTTTTCGCACTCGTATCTTAAATAACTATTTTATAATTAATAAGCATAAAAGTGTGATTATCGGTTATAGTATATACAGACTCTACCAGAAAAACATGAGTATTTATTATCGTTTACTGTCTACACCTGTATTATAACGGGTTGCGCATTTGCAGTTGCGGCTCGCGTTTAACCGGCAAGGTGAGGAGCTGAGAATTGTAAAGAGGCAGCTGCAGAACAGTCAGCAGCGAGTACGGGAACTGGAACAGCACGTGGCCGCGCTGCAAGCTCTCATACAGCGCGACGCGGACGCTGCGTAGTTACCGAATGGTGAGTGACGCTAATCATTAAATCACTATCATCTTCGGCCCTTTTACATCCCCACTGCAGGGGCTCAGGCCTTCCTTATGGATGGTTAAGGAGGATGGACCATGACCCTTCACGCTGGCCCAATTGGAGGGGTATTAACGACTGCAAATGCAGTCGGGACCAACGGCTTAACGTGCTTTCCGAAGCACGGAGTAGCTCGAGCTGATAATTTTTTGGTCACCCATCCCGTGACCGACCCTTGCGAAAGTTGCTTAACGACAACGAATGCGGGCCGCGGCGCTTATCCACTACGCCACAGTGCTACTCACTATACTCTGACCAAACTCGATAAATAATATTTACAGACAAACCGTTACCTTTTTGGTAACGCAGAGGAAATGCACCTTAAGCCTTAAACCAGGGCTCTCTAATCACTGCCCTGAGGACAGGTTGCCTGGTAGGTCTCCATGTTAAACCCACCTCGGGATACCGTCGGTGGGTTGGTAGATTCCGGGATCCAGCAAGAAGCCCGCCGGATTCAAAACAAAGCTTTACCTAGCAACCATTGACAAACATGTGTTGTCAACCTTTTAGAACGTTTACAGACTTGAGTGTTACCTAGCAACCATTAACATATGTATTGGCAACTATTTAGAATGGTTACAGGTAGCATTACCTTTCAATCGTTGACTAACTTTTTGAACATTTACAGACAAATCAACAAACATTGACAAACATTTTTTAACGCTTACAGACAAAGCGTTACTTATTACTCACAAGACAAAGATTTTTTTTTGCCTAGCACATTTTACACTTCGCATTAGGTTTGTATGCGCGTGAATACTCTATAAAAAGCCTGATTACATGGGTTAATTTAAAGGTAATGAAAATACGCATCGTAAGTTAATTTCTATTCATTGCTTAATTCTATTAATTCTATATTCTATTCATTTGCACTGACTTTTTATCTGTATATTAAATTGAAACGTGTTGCAATTGCAGAGTTATCAGCGCCTCGTAAAACCAGAGAACCCATTACAATAAGAATAATGAAATTAGCAATCATGTTTAAAATGTTCGGATGATAGTTGGGCCTATCCGGTACTTTATTATTTATATGTTACTTTATATTATAAATATGTGATGGGTGATACTTAAAAATAGTCATATTAATACAAATTGTATTTTTCTGGGTTTTGTTGCAGAAAAATGCAGTGTCATCAAAGATAAGAAGACCGGAAATTGTTAGTGCGTTGCTTTAACGCTTATATTGCCTTTTCATGTTGCCTAATTGATATCGGCGCAGTGTCTAAATAAGCTTGAATATCAATGTGAAAAAAAGTTACTACCTTTTGAAATGGGGGGTATTTAATTCTTTGTCAAGATTATAGAAGTTATAAAATAGTGCTTCAGTTCGCAAATTGTTTTCAATTAATGGTTTTGCAAATGATGGCTTATATTTACTAAATACCTTTGGCTATAAACAAATTTAAGATTTTTACATTATCGTATGAATCTCGCTAAGATTTTGTAACAAATATAAGTAAAAAATGTAATACGCCATAAAACTTAAAAGCGATTTGCCTAAAGTAGCAAATCTGTGATTTCAAGGTTCGCGAGTCTCCTATTTTATAATTAGCTATTGATATAGTTATTTTTACATATTGACCTGCTCATGTTGTGTATGCTTAATAATGAAATGGGACTTTACCATAAACTATTTAGAGGCTATAATCGTAAATGGCAGCTTAAGGACACTTAGATATGTCACAACTATGTGATTTTGCTCATTGATCAGTCATTGTAGCTGAAAATCCTTTTAATTATATAACACATAATGTAGGCTATTCTTATGATTTCACAAACTTTCAGTATTAACGTATATGTATGGGAACAAAGTAATATATCATTCCAAAATTATTAAATTTATTATTGAAATGAAAAGGACAAATCGACATAAGCACATGTGATGCCAAACTATATTTTAATTATTGACAATATTAATGTTTTATTGCGTTAAGATAATATTGGCTTATGTTTACGGCCTAGCTATCGGTGGCCTGTTCTGATTCTTGTGATATACCCATGACATGATAAGTCGATGACGCTAATTAATTTGTGTTTACATAAATAATTTTCAGTGATATAAATGGTCGCAATTTTTAATAATCTATGTGTGCAATCAAGAAGGATTGTTTTTGTGATGTCACCTTTTTATAGAAAGCACGTTTTATTCTTAATTTTATGGATTAGTTACTTGTTAGTGTTTTTTATTGATTTTACAATTTTTGTAAACATGTGTTACCTGTTTTTTTATATTATATATTTTTTGGAATAATGGCGTATTGTTTTGTATGCGATTTACATTGTTTACTTTGTAATTTGTACCTACTGGCATTTACTTTCCTGGTGAATATTAAATGTAGCATAATATAAGAGTGTTGTAGAAAAATGTACAAAAAAGTTACCTGAACTTTTTACGTACATAGATTAGAACTAAGATTTTGAAGCAAGCACCTTATGATGCCGTGTTGGTGTAGCCTTTTAGTAGTGCTGCTGCTATAAGAATAAATAAGTTTAGACATTACAGTCAAATGATGCGTAATTTTTGCAATGTTGAAATGTAAAATTTCATATAAAATTTTATAATATAGAATTCCATAATCTATTGATTCCAATATTATCGATTTATAATATTAACATTCCATGTTTCGTCTATATTTTAGCTTGATAAGTGAAAATTAAAGTATTATTGTGCGTAAGCTGAAATCATAGCTTCAATGTATGGTTTTTAAAGTTATCGAGAAACAAACTGCTAAAGTGTAATGATACAACATTAAGCTAATTTGGGAGTGCTTTTCGCATGTACTCTACTAATTTCTTCTTTGTAAGATTTAGATTTAAAATAAATAAGTTTTTATATCTGTCAATACACGGTGGGCATCATAGTATGTCAATTTTAATAATTCAATCAGTTATTACAGTTGATTTTAAATTATTATAGAAACCATACATTAGGTCTGTCAGTGTTATTGTCATATTTATTATGTATTTTTGTATCATGCTTCTGTAGCACAAATTTTCAATAAATGTTTGAACAAAGTGTCTGCAGTATTATTTATAATTATGACCCATAATGAAGATTGACATCATTTCAACGACAGTATAGTCACCGTAGCCGAGTGGTTCGCACGCCGGTTTCAAGGTGTCGCCATCTCTGAGGTCCCGGGTCGATTCCCGGTCGGGCCATGTAGAAAATAAACTTTTATATATCGTCTCTGGTCTAGGTGTTATGGTTCCTTCGTTGTCTCAGATACTCTATTCTATAATATGGGGGCTTAAGCTACTTATCTTGGAATCTAAACAATGTATGTCATGTTGATTTAAAAAAAACTGGAGGAAGTATGAAAAGAAAAACGTTTAATAAAAAATCCATTAACTTGTACTATTACATAAAAAATCAGTCACATTATTTATAATTCTACATTTGTTTGTATAACTTAATAATTATCATAAAAACGGAATGTTTCAACCTAAACTTAAGTGTGACATATGTATTTATTTATATATTTAATCTTAATTGCCTAGTGAAATAGAAAAATGGCGGACTCAATGCCAAAGAGGCATTCTCTACCAGTCAACCAGTAAATTTAGTACAAAACTTAAAGTAATCTACATATAATCTTACCAACTAAAACAGATCAACTATTTTTCGATCTCCACGAACCAACTTTTTTGGTAGATCGAGGTAGATATTAATTTAAATTTATTCCCATCCACACAACTTCAAATGTATTAATTATTTTTCTTTCTCATCAAAAGTAGATGTTTTTTCAATAGAACCGACTTCATTCTTTAAAAAAGTGGAAAGTAATATAAGTATTATAATTTAATGATGTATTGATGTTAATTTGTGTTTTATATGTTTAATAATTCAATTGATTAATTTTGCTTTCACTATCGCATTCGATTACATCTTTGATGATAGTTATAAGTCATGAAATAAATAAATAAATATTGATTGTTTATATTTTCATGCGCACTATCCATAAATTGAAGAACTTTTAAACTTACTTTTACAGTTATGCTTCCATTACATTTCTGTTTTTTATCATTTGTGAACCTTAGATATAACGCTTCACTTAATTTATATTGCCGTGTATTAGTATACTTTTGTATATTGGTGATGATCATATAAAAAAACTTTCCTGCCGTTTTTTTCACACCGTTCCATCATTTCCAAGTGTTTTAATAAATTAATCTAACTAAATTATTAAAAAAAAAAATTCAATGACTTAATACTTTGATCAACAAGTCATAAGGATTTCTCATTATGAGACCAGTGGCCAGTTCATTAGTGAAGTTTTAATACGAATGTTGTGTGGGTTAATAAAACAAATTAATAAATTATTCCTATCGAACCAACTGAAAGTTGTTTCCTTGAGAAAGAAAACTAGTTGATCCATTTCGTTGGTCAGTTCAGTTGGTCGGAGTGGAATATTTTTTCCCAAAACATATGTGATCAACCAGTTGGTCAGATTAAAATAAAACCCTTAATCGAGTTCCACAACCAGTTGGTCAGTTTAGTTGGGCCGAGTAGAAGGACAGTCTGTAATATATATAAATTTACTTATACAATTCTCAGATCATTAATTTAACCGACTCGACAGACAAACATACATATATCCTAGAACAATGTTCGGACTTTTTCGAAATATAATTGATGGAAACATGTTTTGAAGTATGTAGATTAGTTCTCGTTTTCTATTGGTGGTTATTCTGTTGGCATAAACTAGACTACTAAGCTTTCATTCTGTGAAATTGTGCTTTACGTAAACTTAATATTATTAACAGTATACTTAATTTTCTTAAATTATATGTGGCAGCAAAATAGTGTTAAAACTAAAACCAAATCGACATTCGATATTTCAATTCTATTTATTCCTTATGGCTCTTTTATGATTTTTAGTTAGGAAGTGGTTACAACAGAATTCACCAACCAACTGTATTATGGGTACTAAATTATAGCAAATCAACTAATGGCTGAACAAGTCATGTTACATTGAATATACCAGTAGTAGTAAATATAAATTTATTACATGGCTACTGGCTTTTAGGTTAAATCTTAACCAAAATACGCAGTTGTCTGCAAATTTACACTCAAAGCATTCCACACTTGTTTAATAATCTTTTATGTGATGACTTTAAAAATAAATAATGATAATATAAATATTGCAGTAGAGATCTGCAAACTTGTAGCAGCATTACACCCATCTGTACTGCATGTATAAATGCAAGTTCTATACTCTAATTTATCTCCAACTTGGTGTACGTAGTTGCAGTAGTTGCCAAGGTCCAAAGAAGAACAATACCTTTTTGTACTTATACCACCTAAAATAATAACACATTTTTTATAACCAAAATTCAGTAAAATTATGTGTCAATATTAAAATGCATTATCCAGATTGTACAAAATAAGTAATATCTCCCTTAATGAAAAGATATAGAACAACACACACTGAAGTTATAAAATATAATAAATGCAATATTGGTGAATTATATAATGACAAAAATATATAATTAATAAAATGGGCTTTTTTCCGGTCATAGAGATATGCATCTGTGTACCAAGTCTGGCATACAGTCAAGTTAATATCCCATAATTTCTTACTTTACCAAGCAAATAGTCAATGTTGGCGACCCATATCCCCTTGACTGGTAAAAGGCTATTTGTTAAATATTACATTGTTGTGTAACCTTATCACACTAGTATGGGTGAATTAGTCTAAATTTAAGATTACCAATGAGCACTCACCCATTCATGCTTGAACCCAATCCACATTAATTGCTCTTGTGCTGCTCAATTTAAGGTGCCTTTAATAATTCTTGTGCTTTTCATTTAAGCATTTGTGCTATATAAACAATTAAAATGTTTTGGTGATGGTGATATTATATCAAATGCCATGCAGTAACCAAAATCCACATCAAATTAAAATATTATTAATAGATTCATGGTTATTATAATATTGTATTGTCACATCTATGCTGTGATAATATGCACATATCTTATTATTTTTTATTTAAATTAAACTATTCTGTGAAGTTTCATAACTCCTTTATTACTAATATAATAAGTCCATTGATTATATAATACATCTATGTGGCCAGTGACCAATAAGTTCTTAACCTTTTTGGCCAGTGGCCCAATATAAAAATAAATTTCCACAACCTTTTTATTTATCTATCACCATCATTTTTAAGACCCATTTGCTATCAAAGTTAGAAAATGCTGCAATAGAACATCATGATTAAAGTAAATCATATTTTAATTTGATGGGAAATTGTAGATAGGAATGCAGTGTTAGTTAGACCTGTTTTTTTAATGCAGTATTGAGCATTATACACATGTTGACATGAAGTTGGTTTTATTATGCCTCCATCCAAATTCATAAGACCATCACCACATTCCATGGTAGTTGAAGAGTTGCACTGATAGCACTCAAGTGCAAAACCTAAACAATTTGTATTATATAAAATGTTATATCTAGAACTTTTATACATATTTTTGTACAGAAAGAAAAAGTTTTACTAATAAAAGTTAGAATATTATTTAAGCCGCCAAAATATTTTCACTGCTGCACTCAAGCATATTATTTAACTATGACTGAATTAAAAAAATGAACATGACACCTGAAGCCCTATTTTATTATGATGAAAATGAAATTTAGTCTATTTTCAAAATGATAATATAACTCCAAAGAAACACATTTTTTGTTAATGTATGATGCAACTTAGGTATAAGTCCTTTAAATTGCTAATGCACTGGAACCTTAACTAAATAACACCTGTATGACATCATACAAAAATAGAAAGTATTGATAGCACAAAAGGCAAGAAATAAATCATTTATTAATTATTGAAATATTTAGGAAAAACCCTAAACTACCATTATAATAATTTGATAACTTTTAATTTCATATTTTTGAACAGAATCAATTAAGGTATTTTTAAATATTTAGGTATTTGGAGAATATAAAAAAAATGAAAATAATAACATTTACTTTGTAATAATGTGATAATGGAAAGGATATTTTTTAATCATAAGCAAAAGTAATAATTAAATGAGAGATATTAAATATATTTATTATTAGTGAAATTATATTTACTTATTGTGAAAATCAAAATAGCACTTGCTATTTTAGTCAACCATAACAAGAACAAAATCACAACAAATATGATATGTGACCTTAACACATTCCAACTCAATAAGTGTGCTCACTAACCAGTACTTATTTGTTAATGGTACTGATTTTTGAACAAAATAATGCCATTAAAATGGCGACCACAGTTATTCTTCATAGATATGATTTTAGGAAAATTGTATGAATAATTAGAAATTTTCAGAATTTTCATTTGAAGGACAAATAGAATATTTATGTTATGTTGATTCATAATCATTACAATATTAATTAACCACTTTGAGAATGGCAGACATTCAATTACTCTTGTTATGTTACGTTAGTAGTATTCTTATATATAATCCGGTAATACCTTTTAAGGATTTATTCTCTATATCAGTTAGTTTGTTAGGTTTTTAATTAGCACCCTTAGAATGTTAAGGTTAGGGGTTAGTTTTATCAAGATTTAATTTACCCATTTAATCTTTGCATTACTAATGTTATTCCTTTGTCCACTACTTTCTAGCGACATTCGTATTATTATCATCTCACCTTCATATCTTCCTACATATTTTATACAATGCTGAGCGTTATGAATCGTAGAACAATCTGTAGGTTGTAAATAAGTGTCTCCTTCTAAATATTCATTGCAATCAAATGGATTTTCTGAATCAGTACCTGAACACTGATAACAGTGTATACAATTAACTAAAATAAAACCAAAAGAACATAAAATTACAAAACTTACAAAAACCTTTTATAGTGTTTTATCTATAAACTTACCCGTTTTCAACGAAAACATAAAAATCATTAATGAAACTGTTAGTGCCGCTGCCATTTCAAATTATTTACGCTAGTCTTAATATTAAAGGAAGGCAAAACTTAGGTATCAAAATTCTGAGTAATATTACTCAAACACGATTAAAAAATTCATACAAAATCACCTAAAAACAACAAGTAAACGTCAATAGGGATGCAACGAAACGAAATATCATATCCACAGATTAACGCTCAATTATCAACGCTCATAAATACCTATGTATTCATATCAAACAAACAGCCGATATCGATAAAATATGGTGGTCACCTCGACTTGGGAGTTTATCGATAACTAAATAATAATGAGTAATTGTTTAATATAGCACGTAATCTGTTTAATGTAAAACATAGAATAATTAACGTATTACAAGGCTAAGCGTGCTACAAAATTTAACGAGTTTTCACACACCCTTACGCTTCATCGAAATAACGCGTTAAAAATTAGCGCCTTCATTAGCACGTTAAAAAAAATATCATCATCAAAATTATATATCGCGTTAATGATTTTTAGGCGTTTTGAACACCTCTGGTTTCAGCGTTTAAACCAAGTTTAAAACTCAGTTTAAAACCACCACCTTAGATTTCACTTAAGCGGTAGGAAGTTATATGCTTATAAATTTGATATTAAAGTAAACATATACAGTGTTATTAGTAAACAAGGTTTAGCCTTGGAGTAAATTTATGCTGAGACTAAACTTATAATATTAGACAAAATTGATATTATTAAACAGAGACTTAGCAAAGGTTAACGTAGTACGAGGTCCTACAGGAGTGATTTTTACTCATAAAGGCTTAGTAGGTTTGCTTATTCTCTGTCCATGTTAGTCCAAATATGAATTTGGACTAATACTAAAATTGTAATTTTAGCGTAATTTTACTGACGCTAAACTTTGTTTATCAATAGCATTGGTAAAGTTCATTAGCCTTTCGTTGGTCCAATTTATACTCATCACAACATAAAGAATATCATGTTTTGTATTTTAAAACTATTTTCTTCCCATTCATATCTCTTTCACTCGTCCCCAAACATATTGCTGTTGCGCTCGCATAGATGCATCAAATCTAGTGTCAACCAAAATTTTTTAACAAAGTACAAAATTCTTGCTGTTACCGTGTTATAGTCATATATTTAAAAAAAACTTGGAGTAGGGTATGCAGCATGTACCTTTATTGAAAAACTTGCCAATTTTTTACATAGTTTCAGTACCTTCTACTGAGTCCAGGATGCTGATCACTTAAATGTTTTTGGTCACCATATTCATCGAAATGTAACATATAAGCTACCATAAAATATCTTTTGTTTTATTGAAATAGTATGAACTACTGAACTGTTAATATATATATTATTTTAGACATTATTCACATGAACAGTCAGCAGCCGATAAAACGTTTGGTATCAATCTGAACAATCCCTTAATTTTATAAATTAAATCAACGTGATTATCTTTTTTTTTAAAAAACTTAATTCAGTAAAAATCTATCCCAAGCATACACATTCCCTTTGCAACTATTTAATTTTTTTTTCAAACGACAACGAATATGCATTTGTATTTAATTTATCACCAAAACAGAGCAAAAAGAGCAGGTCCAAGCTATAATTTTTCAAAAATCACGGTAAATAAATCACTACGTCATTACACTGATTAATGATTTTACAACTTAATAACTTAAAAGCAAGGGTGAAAATATTTTGATAGTCGGGCCATATTGCAGATGAAAATTTTACCTCGGGCCAAACAATTTCTTTCATATAGTAAGCAAGTCGATCAAACGTTACTTGGAATTGCAACAATAAATTACAACGGACGAAAAGCCGCTGTTTCTTATAACCTTTTAAAAAATTTGTTCAGACTCTTCGAATTGAAAAATATGTTAAGCAAATACATCAGTTTCATTATTTCTTTAGTATTTTACGATGCATACACCCTCAGTAGATCTATATCTGCTTTTTTTCGTTTAATTTTCGGCGTTTTAATGCGGAAAGTTTTTTGCATCCTAAAATTAATATAAAATAACTTGAATTCGGGAGGCCTATGCCCAGCAGTGGGCGTCTCTCGGCTGAAGTGATGATGATGATGATGATGAACTTGAATTCTACTATATCGCAGGAGAAAATGGCGGCTTTAGATTTAAGTTATTTTGTTTATTCATGCAATAATGTGATAGATTAACTAATACAACTGTGCTACTTTTATGCATACTGTAGGTAATTGTTCAATTATCATAATTATATTTTCAAATAGGAAGCGCTGAAAGGAGTGGTTGTCCGGGGTTGGGGTTTCGGCCCGCGGGCCGCCATTTGTCCAGGCCTGCTCAAAAGTAATTCAAATGGTGAAAATATGTGGTTGAAACGATATACAGGCTACATGAAGTAGTCCCTTGCCGCAAACACTACTCTTTTGATGACATCTTAATTAAGTCAGGTTGCGATAACCAGTGCTTCTCAAGGCCGTAACACATGCATGAATTTTATACACACATATAAATCATTTGTTCGTACAACAAAAGTTTTAACTTGTCATATTTGTATTGAGAATAAGCTGTAAGAAGTGCAGCTTACGGCCGCATTGACGGCGGCGGTGCCAGCGTAGCGGTCGGTTGAAAATATTGCGCTCACTAGAACGTTATAGTAGTTTTCTCAACTTTTGATAGATGGCACTTTACATGAATTTAACCAAATCACAGTCACGAACCTGTGAATACTTGTATCGAATTAATGTATGAATATGTAAAAATTAAATAATGTAGATTTAGTTAGGTTTTATGGGTAGGATACGCAGTGCTTATTTACAAGTATGGTGTGCACGCCACTGACTCGAGCGGCCTATGTCATTGGCAAAGTTTTGGTAGAAGAAAAGGTTAATATTATGTTTAAAAATAAATAATACACTCAGCAATTAATATTTCACCTTTTTTATATTTTTTATAGTTATCAGTTTCAAAATATTACATATTTTAATTTTATAAAAAAACATACACTATGATATATAACTGTACCTATTAGGTATTGCAACCTGAGCATTACTAATTAAACTCCTTAATAACTATGGACGTATCATTGCAGTTATACTTAAGACTATAAAACTCACATGATTCATACAATATGTAAATTATTACATAAAAACATTCACATCGTTTCAATTAAAACACTTACGGAATAGTGTACATAGTAATTAAATCACAAAACACATGAGCATGTTTCTCTATTACTCATGACAATTTAATTTGTACATCATATTATCTATGTTTAAATGCATAAACTTATTTAAAAAACTCTAACTTACAACGTACAGGCAGTTATAAGTCTTGATATATATTGTCATTAGTTAAATCTTAGTTGAATACTTTTTATAAAATGGAAAATATGTCGAAACTGGAATGTAATGTCGGTTCTTTAGAATTATTTAATCCTACTTTTAACTTAGGGCTAATACATTCAGTTATAAAAATAGATAATTTGAAAATAAATACTTTTGTGAAAATATTAAGTAGTTAGTCCTTGTAATAGCAGTTGGCACGTAATTTACAAGTAAACGAGTGAAAGAAAATTATAGTAGTACTATAGAGATAGTCTAAAAAAATTTTTTTTCTAATTTTATTTAACACGGATATAAAAAATTCGATGTGATGTCGATAATCAAATCACGATTTTTAGGTACAAGTAGTTTTCAGTTTGGTAAATAAATTACCTATTTTATGTAGATTAAGATATAAAAATTTGCATTTTTACTAAAATTATTAGAATGGAAACTATAGAACATTTCAGGCGGATATTTAACTTGCAACTGAAATCCCAATAAATAAATAAAAAAAAGATCAATGTATCTACAAACACTCGCAGTTTTATTAATTTATAAAAGCAAGAAGGCAAATCAATAATTTTCAATTGTTTCTTTAGTTGGCTTCAACTCTTCAGATTTATGTCAAAATAGGTTGTGTACAAAATGTACTAGTTCGAAAGTAAACTAACACCGAATGAGATCGGTAAGAATACGAATAAATGAGAGAGAGAAATCTCACAAGGATCGCTATTAACTAATATGTATATAGAGATCCCATCTTTCCACTTGGCAAACAATTTTCAACAATTCAATTCCATTGATCTTAGTCTTATTTGTATTGTATAAAAATATTTTATTTTATATATTTTATTACTTATTGTCTTGTATTACTGAATCAGTAGTGAAATTATTTAGTTGTGTAGTTGTGGCCGCAAAGGTACAGATCCCTCGACCCAGAAGTTAGGGCGTTGCATCATGGTCTGCCAAAGAGTAACCTCCTTGCCGACGCTGTCCATCCAGTTAACGTTAGCTCCCAGATATGTACCTGATAAGAGGTTTATTTAAAATCATTTCAAAGTTCAAGTTTAACTATTTATTTCAAATTTATTTGATGTTGGATAGTAAAAAACTCGTTGGTGCACTAGCGCATTCAGTGTGACACAAAGGTTAAGCCACTTCCGAAAATGCCGGTCATATGATGGCTAATCAAAAAATATATAATCTCGAGCTCCCTCATGCTTCAGAGGACTTGTTACGTCTCTAAATGTAAATTGTTAACATCTACCAATCCTCAATGGGCCTGAATGATGGGTTGAAACTGTCTCCTGATTTGATTCCATCCATAGTGCCCCAGTAATGGGTACACTACTAGGCTGATAATTATAATGTGAATGAAAGTTTATTTTTCAATCAAATATATAAACATTATACAACTCGTCTGTATTCATGCTGGGTATAGACTTTTGTTATTATTCTTGAGGACGCTTGTCCTCTGACGAAGTTCCTTTACCATATTTTTGCGTCGATTAGGTTACGAAACCATTGGTACGATTTAAAAAGTTCTTACATCTACGGGAAGCTTCATCATACGCGGGTGACATAGGCTGTAATATACACGGGCGAAGTTCCCGGAAAACAGCTAGTAGGTATATAATAAATTTATTACCGGTTCCAAGTGACAATCTGACGGCGCCCATGAAATCGTTGGACGCGAGCCGATCCCTGTCCCACAGACTGAGTTCCAGTGCTCTATCTCCTAGCTCTTGCATCTTGAGCCCTCTGTACGTAAAGGTGTGTTCCCAACGGGGGTTCAGCGTTCTTCGGGCGACGCTAGTCTT